ACAATAAAGCCATGCCATCTAGTTATATAATTCAATATTTTATTTTATCCTTCTCTTAAATCAATTTAATAGTTTAAAACTGAAATTAGTTTTTAAGTGGGCACTTCATTGAAATTTTATCTGTACATTATCAATCCACTTAATTATTTCTAAGTGACACTTGAACGGCGCTTATAAGCAATTGAATTCTAAATTTAGTTTTATTAATAGTTGAAGTAACTCTCAAGTAATATATTAGAAGAAGGCAAAGTACTAATAGCAATGTCCTCAAAATATTGCATACTTTTTCTTATTATTGCCTCTACACACGGTTTTATATTTGAAAATACGAATACAGACAACAAAGATCCAATTCAAGTTGAAGTAAATATACAAGGAAGCACAAATAAGGCAGAAATAGATCTGGCTACTGCAGATAAAATCAGTAAAGATATAAACAATAAAAAATACCCGTTTTCAAATTTAATTGAAGATATTGATTTAGAAATCTATCAAATAATCGGAAAATTTACAACAGAAGCATCAACCAAATTGTACAATCAAAACGAAAACCACGATGAACCATTGGCTCAACATCAGCGTCTTACGAATCTTATACCTTGTCTCCCCTATCGTCATCGTAACTATTTTCCTCGCCACCATCTTGATCAGCTTCACCTCCATCTGCTCTGTGAAGTGGAAATGAGAGGAACACCAACTGAATTGAAAACGCGAGTTATATTCGGTGCTGATCGGTGTCCCACGGGCCAAGTCAAAATCTTAGGAAGATGTATCGAAAAACATTAAATAAAGTTTCTTAATGTAATTAAATAAACACGAAATGAAATCATTTGTTTATTTCATTTGTAAAAAAGCAGCAACAGTATATATACATACATACATACATATATTCACGCCTCTTTCCCGTAGGGGTAGGCAGAGACCACTTCTTTCCACTTGCTACGATCCTTACATACTTGTTTTGCTTCGTCCACTTTCATTATTCCCTTCATACATGCTCTACGGTTTAGGGTACTCTTGACCTGGCCTTATATATATATATATATATATATATATATATATATATATATATATATATATATATATAAATATATATAATCAAAATTTTAAGATATCGCTGATTATAAATATTGTGATATGTCGATATACTGTAAAGCTTATAATAAGCTACAATAAATGAAGCTTACATAGTTTAATTAATTTTCAATTTTTTTATAATTTTGACGTGAAAACTTTTTTAGAACCGTTGTGATTTGAAACCAGACGAAACGAAAAAGCTACACTAAAAAAAGAGACAAAGAGAAAAAAAGATTTAGCCTGTGATAAAATGAAAAATAATATTATATCAAATTAGTCGTGCTTTTAGGTTTAGGCAATCTTAGAGTCAATTTTACGTACCACCTTGAAAGTCAATCAATTTTTGTTCGATAAAATTACTTTACCTATAGAATGAAGGAGATGGCGCTTTTATAAAGCAATTATACTTGAAATTCTTTTGATTAATAAATTTCCACTAAAATGTAGGCTCTACGTGTATAAAAATCAAAGATTGTAACATTTGTTTGTTATAAAATTAAACTTTTATGTTATATTTTATGCCGCTTTTGTGTTTGAAAATTATCGTAATAAATAAATAATTTGCCGTGAAATATTTTTATTTTATGTTTATTTTCTTTCATTTGAAGGATTCACTTCTACAGCGTGTGAACTGCACACATGTTTTTTTTTATATACCTAACTGAAATAACAAAGGTACTTACAGTCCACCTGATCGTAAGTGCCTATCGCAGTCCATGTACACATGCAGTAATCCTCAAACCAAGAAGGATACAGATGCGTCGTCACCTCCCAGGACTAGGGTTACCATATTCAGTTTCTGTTTCTGTTTCAGGATTTGTCCTGAGAAGTCTTTCTATCTATATTTTATGATGTTAATCCTGTAAGCCTTATGGCTTTTACGGTTTCACCGTACTCAGAGCTGAGCTGTATAAAACAGAGTATGAAGTCAAACTTACGTGGGTTTAGGCCATGATCGTGAAATTAATTTACTGATTCAAGCTTTAAAAAATGCGAAGGACTAAATTCTATATTTACATTTTATATTATCTATCATCATTACAGCCCTTCACAAGTCCACTGCTGAACATAGGCCCTCATCATTTGCACCTTAATCCATTGACTTCCTGCATTTCTTATGTATTTATATCTAACCAATTTTTAACCATTTTCTACCGACTTCCAAAAAGGAGACGGTTCGGACTCAATTTGACGCGGATGTTTTTTTATGTGTGTTACCTCATAACTTTTTACTGGGTGCACCGATTTCGATGATTCTTTTTTATTTGAAAGCTGATACTTCTCGTGTGGTCCCATATGAATTTGATCAAGGTCAGACCAATAGTTTTTGAGTTATTTGAGTTATTCTTAATAACTTATATTGAAGTCGGCTGTACAAAATTTTTAATTTTAAGTTATTTAGATATTTTTCTGTCTGTCTAGCCGGGCTAATCTTCGTACCAACTAAACCAATTGTGATGAAACTTTATGAACAGACAGACAGCAAAGCTAGGAGGGACCGAATATTTTTTAAACTATAAATTGATAAAATAAATCTCTAAGATTATCTTAAATTAAAAAAAACGCCACATTAATATATTCTATGTAGGGGAAGCCAGAGCGGGCCACTAGATTTTACTAAAGTTAGTTAGACTGTTTCCATACTAATAACGCGTTATTTACAATTTATGATATACCTATAGCACATGAGTAAACAAACCGACTCTTTAGTCTTGTGCCTGTAGGGTATATAACAAAAGACATATGGATGCGGTGGCTTACATCAGATAAATGTTTGAGAGATGACCTTTCAGTTTTCGCCTAAAGGCATTATATGTAATACGCGCACAGGCTCCTTTAAATCAAAACCATTTATTACCTTTAACTATAGTAAGTGGCTTTCTAAATGTTTTTAATGGAGTATGCACTTAGCTGATAACGCGTTTGCTCTAAAACTTGAACAGTAAGTTGTTATCAGTTATTGAAAACATCAAGGCAGCCATCAAGTGATATAATACGATACATAATATTATAACCTTTGTTGGCGGCCAACCGTGTAGTGGCTGTGTAAGAATACTTACTAACCTATATCGTGGATGTCGTAAGAGGTGACAGAGGGAAACTAGGACAGGATATGGGCAGCAGCATCTTCCTGAACTCAATCTTATAAAAATCTGCGGCTTCCAACCCATCTGCCGAGCGTGGCAACTATGGTGAAATGTCCTCCAAAACGAATTTCAGTCACGGCGGCCAGTCTCAACTGAGACTAGCCATCTGCGCAGGACAGGATTATAGTGCCCTAATGTATGCGCAAGTACAGTTGTACTCTCTATTCCCTCACCCTCATAGTCCGATAGGATGGCAATTCGACACGACCAGAAAGATATCAGGTGCAAGACCAACAGCTTTACGTGCTTTTCGAAGCACAGTGGTAAAACACCGCCAACTTCCTGACTCCCTCTGCTACTGAGAATTTGTTAACAGTGAAACTCAATAACTGATCGTGGCCCGACCCTGGATTCGAACCTGGGATCTCATGATCAGCAATCGCGTTCACGATCACTAAATCAACGAGGGAGTCATAGTAAAATGAGACAATCTATAAAATGGTGCAATATGTCTGAAATAAAGAAAATTTATTTATTTATTATGAGGCTAGATAGAATCCTCTGAGACAATCTACGAGGAAGGCTATTTTCAGCAGTGGACTTTTGCATACCTTAAGTCGGGTCCAGACATGTATCATTTGCCCGATCTTATCACCGTATCCGATCACCGTACCGTATCTGCGTATTGTATCAAGCCCCGTATCAAGTTGTGGACGCCTCCGATTTGCTCCGTATCCGTATCTTCACAATAGTCATGATCGCGTATCAAATTGCCCAGTTCAGTTTCTGCTCTCGATCAAACATGTCGTCGCAGTTGGTGGAAGTGTACGAGAATTTAGCAATTTCATGTGCCTGTTTTATTGTCATTCACAATATTCTAATTTCAAAACCAAAACAGAGACGGTGGTGGCAAACGGAATTATTTAGAAACAGAAACAGACTTGGAGAATAGCTTTGATGAGAGACCTAAGATTTCAACACATAAGTGGTAAATACAAAAACTTCACGCGTATGGCACCTAATGACTTCGAATATTTGATAAATTTGATTGGCCACAAAATTAAAAAAAAACGGATACTACATACAGGAAAGCAATTTCTGTTGAAGAAAGATTAAGTATCACTTTGAGATTTTTAGCCAGCGGAGATTCCTATACAAGCCTATAATATTTATTCAGAGTTTCTAAACAATCGATAAGTGTTATAGTTCCAGAGACTTGTCAAGCTATCGTGGAGGCATTAAAAGACAACATAAAGGTAGGATATTTTTTATTATAGAAACAATAATTGATTCATGACATCAATTAATAGTAATAAACAATCCATGACAACAATAAACAATAATTGTTTATTACTAATAATTCATGTCATGGATCAAATCACGAAAAGAATCTTCGGAATCCATCGACGAATCATCCACTTGAGTCACTGGAGAATGTACTGGATTTTCAGTCATGTACGGGGCTAAACTTTGTGCATTGTTTGAATAAGAAGAATTTACAGACATTTGTGGATGTGCAGTCTCAGCTATGGGATATGTAGATGCCGGAGTGGAGTACTCGCGCTGATATTCATATTGTCCACAATCAGCGTTATATAGGATGTTGTTTATTTGATGTTCCACAGTCATGTAGGTTTGCTTGGAATAACCCCTAAATTTGCCTGCCAAATAATTAGCGTATAGCTGATACTGGTCTAATCCAGTAGCGGCTGCAGGTGAAGCAGTAGCTACCGCTTTAGCAGCCGAAGCTGATGATTTCAGCAAATCAAATGCCGATTGCAACATTGGGTCCTGGATCGCGACGTATTTTCTCTTTTTCGGAAGTGGAGATTTGAATTACGATTTTGAAGAATTCTTTGCATTATCAGTTGTTTGGTCCGATTCAGTGCTCGCGGTGGAACGGGGTTGTTTATCTTGTGACTGATCATGATCTTCACCTATGTGGTCATTTTCCTCATTTTCAGATGTATTATCCTTCGAAGCGCGGTCTTGGCCTTCCTGCAAACAAAATAAAATAATTATAATATATTTGTTACAGATGCGAACTTCACAAACCGGCATAGATTTTGCACGCACTAGAAGTATCTACTTACCTTTTCCTGTTGTGCTGGTTATAGTGATTTTTGCTTTTTCACGGCGAAGGGCTGCCAACAAATAATCCATCTTTTTCTTCAATTCGCCAACTGGACACTCCATTTCGACGGAGAGTTCATCCCAGGCCTCCTGCTTCAGATTCCTGTTGTAATAGCTTTTGTGGCTGGGGTTCCATAGTACTTGCTTTTCTTTATATGCCTCGATAAATTTAATAACATTTTCATTGTTCCAATTCATTGTTTTTACTTCACGGCAAGGACTGAAAATGACGCCCACGTGCAACCAACCGAGCGTCGCGAGTGATGCGTCCAGACTGACCCACGTCCGTATCTGTATCACCTTTGATGATCGGACAAAAACCGACATGACATGGGACGAGCCGTATCATAACGGCGTATCGAGATCGCGTATTATGATACGCGTATCATTACCCGTCCACATATGCGATCATGATTCGCGTCGACGATACGGATACGGTGATCGGATCGGGCAAATGATACATGTCTGAACCCGGCTTTAAGCGCGAGGCGCGCAGGTATGCTCTGCTAGGGCCTAAAAATTAAGATTCCAACGTTTTGTCACATGAAATCGTATTTAGTAATCATATTATAACTTATAAATGATATAAAAAGCACATCAGAAAGATAAATGATTCTTCAACTTATTAATATTTTTTTAAATCTATTAATGGTAAATGGCAGTTTAGTTTTTAGTTTAGTTTCGTTTAGTTATAATTAATTTTTTTCGGCTAAAAAATGGCGCAAGTTTCGGTGGTTTGAGAGCCTTGTATTTATTTATTTTACTAAATAGGCTACAGTCACTAAGTACTTTATTTACTCCGGACTAAAATGCTGTCGTGAGTGGTCATTTGTTAAAGCCTTCGATCAACAATACCAACTAGATAACGGGTCACGTACAAAATCATAGCTAAATGCTGTCTGCGTGAATATATACTTATTCAGCTACATTTGTTTACTAAAGAACTGAGAAAAAAATTAAAACAGTTTTATGTTCAACCCAATTACAACCATGGCATCTAGTAATAAAGTCACAAATCTTACGATCATTAGTTACAAAAAAGGAACAAATCAATGCGTTACTCCTGTCACTAGGAAATGAAAAGACATAGGTTAAATAACTTTAGTTACTTCTTCGAATTGTGCTCCTGTAGCACAATTCGAAGAAGTAACTAAACTTATGGAGTTGCGTTCAACACTTAAATAATTTATAATATAATGATCATAAGTTTAGTTAAAATGATTTATGTTTTGGGCATTTATCTGTGTTGGTATACATACTTTCCACACTAGCCATTAAATATAATATAGTATGTACTATAATGATTGGATTTAATTTGATATATCATTATATATTTATTTTAGTTTTTGTATGTATATATGTTTGAAGTACATATATATGTATTATATATATTTTATATATAAATATGTGTATTCTTTCTTATCACACCAATTTGCCCTACCCCTGTTATCTTCGTGTAATCCTGTCGATTCATTGGTTGTCTCGAAGAAATTGATGTCCGCCCATTGCGTACTTCTTGATGTTAGTGTGCAATAAAAATAATAAATAAAAAATAAATAAATAAAATACCTATTAATTTAAGGTTCGGTGTATTATATGATTATTTAATTTATCAGTGTTTTTATGTGTCGTAAACAAAAAGTAATAAACTGTAAGTACGCTTTTTGCTTTTTAAATGTATGTAATGTCAGTGGCTGGCAAAGGGGTCTTGATAGCTTGATGTTACAAACAAAAATATCACTAAATTCCACACACACACACACACACATAGGACATATATATATATATATATATATATATATATATATATATATTTGTGTGTGTGTGTGTGTGTGTGTGTGTGGAACCTTATATATCTTTAAAATATTTATAATGGAAGTAAATTTCAGTGCAATCAATAAATCAAAATATTTACATCGATTCAACATTAATGATTTTTCCTTTCTGCTTATAAATGAATTAATTTCCTTTAGGTAAATAAGTTGAGTTTGTTGTACAATTGTCGTTTTGATTTATTTTTGATGACACAAACAGAGACAAAAGTAGCAATTACCATTATTTAAAGTTCTGGTAACAAATCACTAAAAATGATTATATGCATACTACTGTTCTGTTTCACAAATGTTTACGCGTGTATTGGCCAACGTTGGCAAAACATTTGTAGGCGTTCTTTAAAATCGGTAATTTTGTTTCAAATATTATATTATTTGGTAGTTTAGAGCTTAAAATATAACTTATTCTACATGCACTTACCGAAAGTAAGACACTACGGCCGTTAAATTGCTTTTTCGGGGATTATTCTTGCAACTTTTAAATACACATTGTGGCATTGTGAAACGTGTTTACATTGGCTGTGTTTCAAGTATACTAAATGAATTAAGAGCTCACGTTTACAGTGCGCTCTTATTTACTGGGACGTATTTTTTGCCCCGACCCGACATCTAGTTGGTATTGTTGACCGAAGGTTACAGCGGCTATCGATCGCCGTTGAAATACAAAATATTCCAAAAACCAAATTTGATACATTTTGTACTTGACCAAGGTATATATTATTATTATTTTTATAACGACATATTTTTATTACAATATTTTGTTTCGCTAAAAGCACGCAATTATATATAAATATACTTATACGTCTTGGACTTTATAGACCTGAAGGTGTGTCGGTATCTGGAACTCTGGAACCCCTCGACGAGGAGAACTAGATGTGCTAAGCTTGGGCTCGTTTTGTTAGTTATGATGAGACCTTATATCCCGATTTGAAAGAGTGATCTGAAGGTGTACTTCGATGACTGCTACTGGAACTCCTCGACGAACAGAACTAGATGTACCGTGTTTGGCTTCGTTTTGTTAGTTGTGATGAGACCTTACCTCCAGAATTGATAGAGTGACTTGAAAGTGTATTTTGATGACTGCTACTGGAAGTCATTGAGGAATAGAAGTACAATTTACAATTTTATTGAAATGTTTTCACTATCATTGGGCATTGTGAGTCGTGCACTTTTAATTTTTCAAACATTTTTAATTGAAGTTTGAAGAGTTTGAAGATATCAGAAAATTGGAAGTATAGTTATAAGGTTATTATATATATATATATATATATATATATATATATATATATATATATATATATATCTTATATGTTTATATATATATATATATATTTATATATATATAAAGGTAATGTAATATATCATTCTACCTGACTATCTCTCCTGATCTGTAAACTTATGACCACCTTCATTACATTGAATTGCTTACAATTTTGCTTATAATTTATCTACTAGATTGTTCTTTTTCCTTTTCTTCTAACAACAATACACCTACCATCAAACAATATAAGGGAAACCTGTTATTGGCCATACTTTTAGTTTGTTACATTAATGTTAATATTTTCTATATACGCTGTTGGTTTTCTAAATAAATAAATAAATTAGTGAAAACTTGTGTGTATTTAAACTACTTAAAAAATTAAGTATAATCATGTTACACCTAATTTTTAATGCGCTTAAGGCATGCGCAATTGGATTTACCAATAGTATTATAGACTGTAATGGATTAATGGATGCCGTCTAGTAGCAGCGTAAGACGTAAACAAGTTAAAATTAACAATTTTGTACAACCGACTTCAATATAAATTATTAACGATAACTCAAAAACTACTGGTCAGACCTTGATCAAACTTATATGGAACAATACAAAAAGCACTTGCTTTGAAATAAAAAAGAATCATCAAAAATGGTTCACCTAGAAAAAGTTATGATCGCCTCCTTTTTGAAGATTTAAAGCTGGTAAAAAATTAAATGCACTACTCCATATCATACCGTGGGAGTCGTACGAAGTGACAGAGTCTCTTTCCAAGGGTAGGAATAAGTATAAAATACATAAAACTGTTTATATACATAATTATAGAAGACTTATACCGATTTTATATTTTAAGTTGCTGGGCTTTTGTCATTATTTTTTCTTACGGTCCAAGGAAAATTTTTCCGTCCAATGTTCCGTGCAGTCCTCCACACTTTACGATAAATCATTTTCTATTTTTGGAGTAAGACTTTGGAATCAAAATCACATCAGCATTTGGAATCAATCCAACCTTACATTTTCTGAATAAACAGGTTAAGGAAAAAATGGTCAGTAGGAGCCCCAAGTCAGGAAGTTGGCGGTGTTTCACACCCGTGCATCGAAAAGCAAGTAAATCCGTTACTCCTGCACCTGATTTCTCTCCGGTTGTGTCGGATTACTTTCCCATCGGACTATGGGAGTGAGGGATAGAGAGTGTCTATGCTTGCGCACACACTCGGGGTCTATAATCCTGTCCTCCGCAAATGACTAGTCTCCGTTAACACTGGCCGCCGCGAAATTCGGTCTGTAGGACATTATTATTATTATTATTTTTCTTATATGTATCTTACGTTGGTGTACAATAAAGAGTATGGTATTGTACTGTATTGTATTGTATTACTTGCTGAATAGGGGAGTGGTAAGGGGTAATTTTCGACACAAGCGGTTTCAGGCGGCGGCAACCCATGCTACACTACCAAACGAGCTTTGATTATGTTTGAATTGATGAAAATATTCCCAAGTCTAACAAATAGATAAAACACTAGGTTGTAGTAACTTATGCAAGAAGATCTCATCCCTGACACTGCATAATGAACAAATATTCGATAAACTTCCACCAAAAAGATGCATAAATATCTAATTTATCTACTACAGTACGCGGCCGCTGGAAAATTTAAATTAAAAGTTTTAATCCTATTCATAATGGAAATACATACGTAGAGCTCTTCATGTGAGACCACCCCCCCACTACACTATGTTTGTGTTGGAAATGCCTGCACATAATTAGAATTTTCAATGGAATAGTTGATTTATTAAACTAGCGGCCGCCTCGGCTTCGCCTTAGCTTTCTCTATTAATATAACTTTATTTCTGTTTGAGATATCATCAAAGACCGTTTATATTTTTTTTATTTTTAACGTTATAAATAATTTCAAGTAAATAAAAATATTTCGCGTCTAAGTGGTGGTTTCGAGAGTCATTACGAAGCGTCTCGCGCGCAGACTCGATGACTTACAGTCTCCCGAACAAGCCGGTTTCCGAAAAGGCTTTATCACCATAGACCACATACATACTTTTCAGCAAATCGTACAGAATACCGAAGAGTACAATCTGTCACTTTGTCTTGCGTATGT